ACTTGGTTTAGCTAACAATACTCAGATTTCCAAAGATTAGTCAGTCCATTGAATGGACAAGATAAAGCTTCCGGACTTGAAAAGCCAAAAGCTAGGTCGTGAGAGAAGAATAATTTACCAAGGAAATAGTATTTTATATGGCCTCTTGGCAGAAAACTAATGGGCTTTCCTTAGGAACACCCCAAATTATGCTTTTGTTTTGACCCTTTGACATGAACATATTGGGAAAGTTTTAAGGGTGGACAGAACATGATCAGATTTGTATTTTGGAAGGATGGCTTTTGGTGGCAATATGATGAATTTGGGACACGGAGGAATGTAGGATACCTGCTTTTCTTATAATCCAGGTAAGGGGTACTGTGGATCAGAACTGAAACAGACAATGGGAATAAAGAGCTGGGACAGACTGGACAGATAATTAGAAGACAGTCTGAGCAGGACAGTCTGAGCAATCAATTATGGAAAATACTTTGTTTCCATTTGTGAAAGGACTTTGTCTAGTCTGGGCTCTTTAAATGGCTTAGGTTTTAAAGATATATTCTTAGTATTATTTTTTTAAAAAAACTTTCTGTTGTGAATAAATAATGAGTTTCATGAAATAACTGATAAGCAAATTAAAGGTATTTCCTATATAGGACTTGATGTGGTCCTCCCTGAGATTCCCACATTTTAGAAGCAGTGCTATAAGTAAAAACCTTGTTACCTAAGTGAGGACAGAGAAAGAGCAGAGAATAAGCTCTACAGGAGAAAATAAAGCAGAGGTGACTGTGAGAACCTGTCACTCAAAGTATTTGACTTTGATAATCCACATAAATTTCAAATGTGTATATGTTCAATTCTGGTGACTCACCCATGAGTCTTAAAATTTCATGTAAGAAATTTTGTTGTTTAGATGCTAGTTTATAAAATGTAAACATTTTGTAAAAATTATCATATTCAGAAATTAAAATAATTTAATTTTAATGTACTTAATATTTTCATTAAAATATTTTGTTCATTTATTTTTAACACTTTTTTTTATGTATTATGTACTTTGATGCTGTGACATTTGGTACATATAAGCTTTGTATTGTTATGATTTTCATACTAACTACAGCTTCAGTTATTACTATTTTCCCAGTAAGTTTCAGTATGTGTTTCCATGTGTACTTCTTTTAAACACCTTTGAGCAATTTAAATTTTTTTCTGTACCACTTGCTATAAGTGAAGCACATATGTCTTCTCTTTTAACTGAGAAATTTACATTTAACCAGGAAAATTACATTTGTTTGAGGGCCACATTGACTATGAGGTTTTTAAAATTTGTACTTTTTATATTAAATTTTCAAACATACAGGAAAGAGGAAAAAATAAGACATAAATATTTTAGCAACTACCGTATAGATTTTCAGCAGTAGTATTTTGCTGTATTTGCTTCATTTACCTTTTTTTCTGACCTGTTTTAAGCTACCGATAGATACATAAATATCAGGATACTTCATTCCTAAATATTTCAGGATGCTATACAGAAGAAAATCTTCTGCATAAGCAGTATACTACAGTCTTTTCTAATAAAGTCTATCTGTTACTCCTTGGGAAGTAAAATTTTACAAGATTTGTTTCCACAATTTCAATTTGTGTTACATTGTAATTTGTCCTTCAGTCTTTTCATGTTTGATTAATGAAATATTTTCTTAACATTTTTGGGATACAGTTCACTTGCCACTATTCCAATAACATTACTATTGTATTTTTTCATTGTCAGCCCTAAAATTAAGAATTTCTTTATTACTTTATTCTATTCTTGTCTAGCAAATATTTTTCATTGGTTCCAAATATTGGCAGGGGTATTAGTTCTTTGGTAAATTTAAATGTTTGATTCCTTTGATTTTAGTAAATTCTTTAGGAGAGTTGGGGATTTATCTCAATGGTTCTGCCGCCAGCCTTGCAAGCACAAGGACCTGGGTTCGATCCCCAGTACCACAAAATAAATAAATAAATAAATAAATAAACAAATAAATAAATAAAATACAAATTCTTCTTTTTAGAGTAAGAAAAATTTATTTATTTTTTAACAAGAGTAAGAAAAATTTATTGAGAGAAAGAAAGCTTCTGTCTAAGGGGGGGGGGACCAGAAAGTGGGTTGCCCCTAAATATAAATTCTTTATGGCCAGATTGTGGATATTTAAAAGGACATAGTTGCGAATATTATCTTACCAGTACTATCATTTTGAATGCACTTATTTCTAAATTTTATGCTAAATAATCCTGCATCATTGATGGTTTAGTCTTGATACTATTTAAATGGAAATAGGAGATCACTGAGTTTGCACAAATAAGTATAAAACCAATACTTTGGTATGATTTTCACTCTAGAGAGAGATATGGGAAATTTCATAAGAACTGTGTCTAAGAAAAGAACATGTTATGACATTAGCTTCAGGAAGAAATATCTACATCCTTCATAATTTGTTAGTCTTCCTTTACTCATCTAATTCCCAATCAATTTTGACAGTCAACCAACTAATCTCTTATTATACCTATACTGATAAATAACAAAGAAACAAGTAGCATGATCATAGAGTGAATATCTGAGAAGGTTTTGAGACATTTAAAAATATTTTTTAAAAGGCACATTGTGTTTTATAATAACATCGGTATAAAAACAAAACACTCTTAAAATCTAGCAGACCAAGAAAGTCAATTGATAAAATAATTACAATATGTTCAGTCTTAACTGAATTTGCAAGCAATATTGTGTAACATGCAAAAACATCTGGAGAGTCTGAATCACTTGAGATAAATTTCTTGCAAGATATTTAAATGTCTGAGTGAATTAATAAACCTAATAACCGCCTTCAACTATTCATCTTACTGGTGATTAGTCTTATTTAAAATGTTTTCTAGAATGGGAAGGGGAACAAGGGAGGAGGGAGGGAGGAAGGAAGAAAGGAACAAGAAAAATGTGAAAATAGAAGAAAAATGGAAACAAAGTTTGTACATAGGGAGGGGAGGGGGCTTGAGGGAGTAATGGGATAAAATAAAATAAAATTTATTATAAAAAGTTTTCTAGAATAGACTTTAATACTTCCCCTGAAAGCTACTTTATTATTTGAAGATAATAAAAGATTCATAAAATTAGCATATCAATGTATATTTCTCACTTTATTTTATTTATTTCTTTATTTTTGCAGCTGGGAATACAAACCAAGACCATGCTAGGCAATCACTTTCAATTTTTGTTTTTTGAGACAGGCTCTCGCTATGTAGTTCAGGCTGGCCTTGAACTCACTATGTAGCCCAGGCTGGTCTCGAATTCACAGCTTATCCTCCTGCCTCAGCCTCCTGAGTGCTGGGACTATAAGCATGCACCACCATGCCTGGCTAGGCAGTCACTTTCTACTGAACTATATTCCTGGCCTCTGATTAATTATTTAGTACATGTCATATGATATAGTGGTCAGAGACATTAGGTGGCAACTGCTCCAAAGAACATGGGAAGGATGCTTAATTCTCATTGAGATTGCTGTTGTAACCTAGACTCTCATACGTGACTCTGAGGTGGCTAGTTGCCTATTGAGAGCCAGCACAGATAATGGGTAATTGTTGGTTACTAATGTTTTTCCACAATTATATCAGTTAATATATTTAAATGGCTAGGGAAGTTGGATCTAGTCTATTGAAGGAAGCTTCCCAATTTTGCTCATGCTGCTTCCTCTGTCTAAATGCCATTCCTCCCTTTTGATTCTTTCTCTTATTGATATGCTTTTAAAAAAATCAATAATGTTCAGCTTGGGGCAGCTGTTCTATGAAAACTTCCCTGACCCCATATTTTTCCTACACATGCGTCTATCTCAATCCAGGATGTGTCACTTATTGATAGTCTCTCTCAGACTATTGATGCCTGTCATAATCATCTTTGATTCTCCAGCACGTTTCTGACATCATTCCAAATGTTTGTTGAATTGAGGAGTAAGTAAATAATACATTAATCCAACTAAAACAGGATGGAAAGGTCATAGGAACAAACATAGTTCATGAATTGCACAGTAGGGGCTCCTAGTACAAAAAACTGAAATGAGATTATCTAGTCAGCTTTATGTTCCTCAAGGACAATTCCAAGGAGGAGTATAACCCCTATTAAAGGTACTACTGCACAAAGAAACTCCACTGCCTTAACAATAGGATTTGTGTGTGTTCTCAGTAGAAGATTTGTGGATGAATTAGATGTGGAACCAGAGAAATGGGTATTCATACTTAGCATCTGCAGAGAGACAAGTAATTGGCTATAAAGATCTCAGCACAAAGTTCTGGTAAGTGGTTTTCATAAAATAGTAAGTGTTCATATTTGATAGTAGATTTTGGAGTTATTCTATTTTTACTTATTTTTTAATTTTTCCCCATGATCATGTAGCTTTAGAACACTTTTTAAGAATTTTTAAGAATAAAGGAAAGCATTTTAAACGGAAATGTTATTGATAGCCAATGAAAGCAAAGAACATTTGCTGTGATAAATCAGGGAATTAAAAAATTCTAATTGACCTTTAAGAGACTCAAATTAGGCAATTGAAAAAAATTTATGGAAAAATGACAATGCAATTTCCCAGCCAAGATTGTCTATCTGACCTGGTGTCTCAAAATTTAGAATTACAGATGTCTTTACTGTTTATGCAATGTATAAAAATTCCATTTTTTATCTAAGGTCACTAGATTTGAAAGAACCATCTATAATATTTGTAGAAAATATTTTAATATGAAAAAATTCTATTGTTAATGATGACTTCACCAAGCATGGCAGTGCATGCCTGCAATCCCAGCACTCTAGAGGCTGAGACAAGAGGATGGCTGATAGTTTGAGGCCAAGCCTGTGCTACATAGTGAGTTCAAGGCCAGCCTGAACTACATAGCAAGAGCCTGTCTGAAACAAACAAACAGAGATATCACTAAAATATAAATAATTTAATGGTACAAACTAATCCACTGACAATGAACTTTTAAACACTGTGAACAAAACAACTTACAGCATCTACAGTGGTCCCCAGCCCATCATAATACATTACTCCTAGCTGGTAAGTTGCTTGATGATCTTTCTCCTTGACATCTTCAAACTGTTCTAATGCTTCTTCATACCATCCCTGTAAGTCCCCAGAAAATGATTATTTTATTATAACCTTAAAGTAATCTCAAGCTGAGGGTGCAAGAGGTTACTTGTGCCCAAATATACACAATTAACAAGCAATATAGCTGCACTGAAACCTGTGGGCAAACCTGAGAGATCACGCTCTTAAGCTATTGGACTATGCCATCTGAGTGACAAGTGCATGCTGAGTCTTCAACAGATACTTGTTTGTAGAGAGAAAGGTTGGAGAGAAAGTGGGATATAGGTGAATAACTCCCAAATACTCACTGGTCATGAGAGACAGAGAACAGTCCCTTTTCAAATTGTCCCTTGGGGTTCAAGAAGAATTGAAGCTGTACTACTGAAGTTGGGATGATAGTTTGCACAGTTTCTCCTAAATCTACCTCCCATGCTAGCATAATGTGGATAAAGAGGGAAATTGACTCCATGCTGAACAGAAACACACAAAGCTACTTTTAAGTACATTACTAGATAAGAATCAGGGCCTTTAATTATTAGTAGTATGAAAATATTTTACATAAAATATTTTGAGCAAAAATATAAAAATATTTTCATTTATAGTGTGAAAAAGAATTTTTAGAATACCAAAATGACTCCCACTAATAACATTCCTGAAAATGATTTTGTAAAGAAAGGTCAGATATCTCCTTAAACAGGTGGCAGTATATCATACTTAAAGTAATTACAGGATTCCCCTGGTATAACAATGTAAGGAATGCATCATGAAATTTGTTTCTGAGGATCTAACAATAGGTTTATAGGGATGAATACAAAGAAATAAATGATACCTCTTCAAAATATAGTTGACCTCGTAGAAAATAAGCCAGAGCATCCCCTCTTCTTATTCTTTCCTTCAAGAGTTGCAATGCCTAATCCACTAAATTAGCATGGCCATAATGATCTGATATAATAAAGTGAAGATTCTATTAACCATGTAATGTGAATTTTCTCTTGAAGTAATAAATTATATATAATTCACCTGACTCTATTAATATTATCTTCTTTCCTAGTTTGCATCCCTAAAACTGGTTAGGTCAAGGGAAAAAGCATTGTCTAAAAAAAAAAAAGATTACCATAGTCCCTAACACTTTACTTTGTAATACTCATTGATTTTCAAATTAATCCTATGCATTGCCAAGTAGGAGCTCTAACAACACAGTCTATGTGCATATATTGGTTTTTCTTTGGGCAAAGCTATCTTCTGGGTGAGTTAAATTGTCAACTTGAAGCTTAATTAGAACTACTCTAATCAAACCAGCTGCCCATTTCCAACTTAATTTCTTAGGTCTATATGATAGAAATTGGTAGCTTTATATGCCCATTTCAAGTAAAACATGATGATATTCTCTTTAATATAATTGACATTAGGCTTCCTCTTTCTGGAAGCACATCCTTAAGTCCTGAGAGTAAAATCAGAATCAGTATTGAATTTTGAGTCTCCTCCACTCATAATTTGGTACTGGATTAAGTTGCAATTTCACAGATTCTTGCAGGAAAGCTTTATGAAGGACCATAAAAGTGACTGCTTCCTTGAAATTGCTAAGAACACACATTTCTTGTCTTGTTTATCCTAACGTAATGAAATTTTAGTAAGCATATTTTTCAGGGAAAGATTAAATATCCACATTTGTACCACTGTTTTCCTTTCTCCATTGGAAGAATTTTTGATGCTTAGCAGCATATTGAGATATGGAGGTATAAAAGGGATTCTTGGGCAACTTTTCACTGGTCAACTTCATCCTGTTTCCACAATGTGTATTCTGTAAACAAGAATAAAAAATAAGATGGCAGAAATTTCTTTCTCCAGAAAAGTGCAAAGATAGGCTCCATTCCCAATTGAGATCCATTATAAAAGCACCCCCCACCCCACTGCCTAACAGTCTGACACCAAACTACCGGTTCTGAGATGTAAACATTCTTTCATAGGAAACCACAACCCTCCATAGCTATAAGATGTAGTCATCCTCCATTCCTTTTGCCCAGCACAGGACTGATGATGAAACCAGTTTGCAAATCCTATCTGACTACAACTCTGCTGTGAGTCACGTCACCCACCACTACTACTGCCATTTAGTGGGAATTCTTTTTTTTTTTTGGTACGGGGGATCAAACTTGGGACCTTGTGCCTGCAAGGCAGGCGGCAGAACCATTGAGCTAAATCCCTGGCCGTAGTGGAAATTCTTGACACTGACAATAAATATGGTTCTTGTGCACTGGTACCTTTGTGTGACCTTGTAATTTAAGCTCATCAGAGTAATTCATTTCACATGAAAGCATTTAATCTATTTTTACCTGGGAATGTACTTTATTTTAGTTGTGTTGTTCAATTTTGTCTTCCTATCTGTATTGGATTGCCATGTCATTAGATGGATCAGAGTTGAATGGTGAAGCAGGGCCTTCATATAAAATGTAGAGGCCACCTCATTTGGGATGAAGGAGTCCAGGTTAGCTCAGGGTGGGGCTTGTGAGACAGCAAATTCAGTTGTTGCTATGCTCCTTTGATTATTCCTTGGCATTCTAGGGGTACAGCTCAGTTGAGCCAATCAAGAACAAGCTTTCAGGCCAGGTTCCTGATTGGTGGTTAAGAGAAGAACTCAAGAGACCCTTAGTGTGATTAGAAAGCTGCATTTATGGAAATAGAAGATATCATTTTAGAGAATAAGTTGCTTCATTAAAGAGAATGAAATGCAGAAAAGGGAGGTAATTCAGTACATTAGCAAAAAACAAAATCAATGAACCATCTTTGTGATTTTGGAAGAATCGTTTATCTTTTTTTTCATTGTTTATTGGTACATTTTATGTGTACAATATGAGGGCATGCATCATTGGAAATGTGTACCTGTACATGATATATCTTGGTTCTTATTTTTCCCCATTCCCCTGCCTTCCTTTAACCCTTCTACCCCTCCCTATTTACAAAGACTCTGTTTCCATTTTTTCCTTCTTCCTTTCCCTTCTTTCCCTTCCCCTACCCTCCCCCAACAGTTCCCCTTCCCCCTCCCTTTTGGACCGTTTATCTTTTTTAAGAGTCGATTTCCTCATCTGTATTTTAGGCTATTATAAATAGTTTGAATTAAAGGATTCAAAAATGTCCCTTCCTAGATATATATAATTATTTCATTATATGATTTCCCAAATCTATGGTTTAATTAATGAATATAAAGTTCCCAATGAATTAAAGGGTGAAGCAATATTAGATAGGGTATTTAGAAGAAAATACAAATAGGATAATGCAGGTAGTGTGCCTTGCCTTTTATTTTCATTAAGTTTATCGGTACATTTTAGTATACAATACAGTTACATTCATCATTGGGATCTTGTACCTTTACATGATGCATCTTGGTTCTTATTTTTTCCCCATTCCCTGGGCTCCCTTCCCTATTTACAAAGACTTTGTTTCCATTTTTTCCTTTCCTCATATTTTTTTCTTTTCCCTTCTTTCCTTTCCCCTATCCCTCCCACTTCCCCTACTCCTTTAGACCTTTTCTTCCTATTTTATCTTATCAATTATACATTTTGATCCTTATTTACATTTTTTGTTTTTCACATCAGAGAAACTATTTGGTATTTACACATGTGTGTCCTATTTATTTCACTTCAGAGTATGGCATAAATGTGCATCCATTTGCTATAAATGTCTCTAGTTTTTCATTCTTTATGGCTGAGTAGTACTCCATTTTATATTAAAAAAAAAAACCCTACATCTTCTTCATCCAGTCTCCAGTTGATGGGCAATTGGGTTTTTGCTAAGTTTTAGCTATTACAAACTGTGCCGCTATAAACATGGGTACACATATATTACTGTGGTATGATTCTTTCAGTTCTTTTGGGACGATACCCAGCAGAGGAATAGCTGGATCAAATGGGACTTCTAATCCTAGTTGTTTGAGGTATCTCCATATTGATTTTCACAGTGGTTGCACCAGTCTGCACTCCCAGTAACAATGGAGAAGGGTTCCTTTCTCCCCACAACCCTGCCAGCATTTGTTATTGGTTGATTTCTTGATAGCAGCCATTCTTCCTGGGGTGAGGTTGGATTGTCATTTATTATCCAGAAACTGATACAGAAGTTTTTACTTTGAATGAAGATATTAACCCAAAAAGGTTAAGAAAACCCTTGGCATATTCAGGAAGGGCATCTGAAATGAAACCAATCAGAGAACAACACCTTACCCTCTATAAGCTTTCATTGCCCTCTGTGGTTATAATACCACAGCACATATATTTTTTGTTGCTGAAGCTTAAAAGAAGTGTTGGAGAAGGTCTGGAAAATAATATTTACTGAGCTCTTACTAAATGTATTGTTCTTTGTTCTAAGTCTTTATAGGTACTCATTTCTATAAAACTTTATAAAATAGGGAATATAATGAGGAAACTGAGGCGTGGTGATAGACATAATTCATGAAGTCAGTGGGAGAGCTGGGATGTCCTTACACCTATGCACTTCTTTATTAATCTCTTCTGTCTCTCTAAGCTACCAAATTATGATTTTTTAATATGGCAGGACTCTTGTAACTTGAAATTTAGTACAGTACTTTTCAATATGAAAAAGTAAGGACTAAGACTGAAAAAAAGCAAGTGTTATGGATTGTGTTTAGATGTCCCCTCAAAGCCTTATGCTTTTTCAGAGGTGTCTGAATCTAGAGCATGTGACACTCGAATTGATTCATGGTGGGGCTAGGCCATAGGTCACTAGGATTAAGGGAGTGAGTACTACCTGCCCTAAATAGTCTGAATAAGATAAAAGGGGCAGGAAGACACTGTTAAGGCCTCTTGCTGCTTTTGCTGTCTTCTGCATCCATGAACTGTTGCCCCTCTGCCACCCTGCCTTGGAGCCAGTGGATTATGGACTGAAACCTCTACAAACTGTGAGCCGAATCACCTTTTCCCCCTTTAACTTTATGTTCCATATATTTTGTCTCAGCAACCAGAGAAAAATAACTAAGACAGCAAGAGTATTTTTTTTCTGCCAAGTTTTGAGATTTGATATAAAATCATCATTTGAAGCTTGAAAACTGTTTGCATAATATGTTGTAAATTTAGAAAATTCTGAAATAGAAACTAGACATTACTTGATAATATAGAATCTTAAAGAAATCTATGATTTTAAAAAAGGAAGGTAAGTGTAGTGGATGTAGTGTAAGTGTGGCACCCTCTTGATGAATTAGTGTTCCTATCCCCAGCGTCTGTGAATGTTACTTGAAAACAACCCACAGCTGTTCCCTTTCTATACCTTTTTTTTCCCCAGTCAACTTTGTCCCTAGTTAAACATGAGTTCCCTCACTCCAGGACACTTAGCTCTATCCTGGCCGGCAGATCAACCACTTAAGGGTTTATATCTAGATGTCCAACAGAGCCTCATGGTCTCATAGGCAGGGATTTTGGAAAGTGATTGGATTATGGGGGTTTATAGTTGACTTGCTGGTAGGAGGTGGGATCTGGTCTGAAGAGGGTCCATGGGGGAGGGGCCCAGAGGGGTTAATCTCCCTCCTCAGCTCCTCCCTTCACATTCTCTCTGCTTCCCGGCTGTTAACTGTGAGCACCTATTCCTCTGCCATGCCCCTGTGCCATTCGGTCCTGCCTTGGAGGCAGACTACTGAAACGTGAGCCAAAATAAACCTGTCCTTCTTTAGGTCACGGGTGTTGGCAAGCTGGGAGGAAAATTAAGAGCTATATGAGAGATCTATAGTAACTTTAGGGATCCAGATCCCAACTCTGAGCTCAGCTTTGTCATGGTTAGGTCACCATATGGTCTAAAATGGCTGTGGGAGATCCTGTTATCAGGAGTTCATTCCAGACCCCAGGCAGGAGGAAAAGGCAGAGTCATACTCTGTGTAAGGAGACTCTGGCAATCCATACAATAATTCCATGTATAGATATCGCTGGAGGAAATTCTTTTAGTAGAAATTGTCAAAGTTCTTGAGGAATTCACTTAAAAATTGGTAATAGAAACTTCTTATATTGGTTTCCCTGAAGCCAGTAGCTTCTCAATAATATGGGATTCATTTACAAAAGATTATATTGAAAGTGAAATCACAAATCACATGTTGCAAAATAAAAGTATTTTGTTAATTTAATAAACATAAATGATCACCTCTCAGGAAATTAAGTTTCCTCTTTGGCTTTTCTAAAGTAACCTGTCTGGTTAAGAGACCTTTACACTAACTTGAAAGGATTTTCTGTTGTATATTGTCTCAGTCTTTCTCATAGATTTATTTTGGGGGCTTGTATCCAAGATCTTCACACTAAACTATATCCTCAGCCCTTATTTTTTGAGAGTCTCACTGCGTCACTAAATTGCCCAGGCTGTGCTGAAATTTGTAATCCTCCTGCTTCAGCCTCTCAGAGTGCTGGGATTATAAGCATGTACCACCATGCCCAGCTTCTCTAGATTTTTAAAAGACTGTTCTCTATAACGCCCATAAAATTTCCATGAAATGTTGATATATCATCTTCAGTTCATAAGCTGTAGAACTCTTGTCATAATATTATCAATAAAGAAAATATCCAGTTGCTTTTAAGGCTCAGTAGAATTTGGTCAGCATTGATATATTATGGGTACCTGGATACCAATAAATATTGAGCTATCATATTCGGAACTTTTTGATGAATATTACTTGAATGTATTTTGCTGTTATTCCCAATTATGCTTCCTTTTAATGCTGTGCATTTAGGAAACACTTTGTCATATCTTTTTGTCAATAAAAGCAAACAGGAAATCAATGAAATTAGTTTAGCTTTTGGTTCCACTTTTATTTAATAATTTTCACCCACTGGCACACATTCATTCATTTTTTTTCCATTAAGTTTATTGGTACATTTTAGGTATAAAATACAGTTACATACATCACTGGGATCTTCTACCTTTACATAATGTATCTTGGTTCTTATTTTTTCCCCCTTCCCCTCCCCTCCCTTCACCCCCTCCACCTTTCCCTATTTGCAAAGACTTTGTTTCCATTTTTTTTCTTTTCTCATATTTTTTCTTTTCCTTTCTTTCCTTTCACCTACCCCTCCCACTTCCCCTACTCCTTTAGACCTTCTCTTCCTATTTAGTACACAATATCAATTATACATTTTAAAAATTACAATATCAAAACTTAGAGGACTTTACCACAGATTTTACAGAATTTAAAAGGATATAGAAAGCATATTACAAAAATCTTTTTTGAAATAAATTTGACAACTTCTAAGAAGTACCTTGGAAGACAAATTAATGAAACTAACTCTGGAGGAAATATAAAATTTGAATAGCACCTATTAAAGAAAGTATATTTCTAGCTTGAAAACCTACCTATATGACAACAGGCTCATATACATTTCAACTGATAAATTAACAAACTTTTAAAGCAGAAGAAAGAAGGAACACTTCTCCCCTCATTTTAGGAAATCAATATTGTGCCAATACTAAAACTGGATAAAGATAATAGAAGAAAAAAGTATGAACATAGATAAAAATTTGTTTAACAAAACAAACTATTAGAAGACTGATTTGGCAATATGTAGAAAGCCGTTTTATTATAGGGATGGCAGTGTTGGTTCAGCATTGGAAGATCCACCCCCATAAGTTATCATTTTAACAGAGGAAAGGAAAAAGCCATATGATCTTGTCACTAGTTGGAGAAAAAGTATTGGACTAAATTCTACACTGCTCATGGTAAAAGCTATCAGAAGACTAGAAGTAGAACCTTCTCAACAGATAAGCCATGTACTCCATACTTCCAGCAAAAACGCCTTATATGAATGGAAAAGATACAATGCTTTCTCCCTAAGGTAGGGAACAAGGGGAGATATGCCTATTCTTCATCTGTCCATTAAACTTTGAAACATAGGCCCAAACCAAAATAGTCTGACAATAAAGACACAATTAGAATACAAGTGGCAAGGTAGAAGTAAAATCTTTATATTAGATGAAATGATCATCTACAGAGAAACTACTAAGAAATCTCTAGGAGCCTCTAGAACTTATATTTGAATTTAGCGGGATTAGAAAACACAAGGTATATATAAAAATTCAGGTCTATGTATACTTGCTATAAATGAAGAATTGGATATTGAAATTTAAAAGTTATGTAGGAGAGCTGGGGATTTAGCTCAGTGGTTTCAGTGCCTGCTGCACAAATGCAAGGACCCAAATTTGATCCCCGGTACCAAAAAAATCCAAAAAAACGAACAAAACAAATAAAAAGTTATGTAGGAGTTCAAAGGACCTAGAAAAGTAAAAAGAAAAAAAAAAGTGTTGGAAGACATTTATTACCTAATTTTAAGACTTCCTCTAAAGCTACAGTAATCAAGGCAGTGTTGGTATAAGGAAAGACATATAGATCAATGGAACAAAACAGAGAATCTAGAAATAGAACTACACATATATGGTCCACTGAGTTTTGAAAGATTATTCAACGTTAACATTTTACAGAACATAAACTCAATTCAAGAGGAGAGGAGAAGACTATTTTCAGCAAATGGTACTAGAACGCCTGGTATCCTAATGTAAAAAATTAACCTCAACCCTTTATTTCCATATATAAAAATAACTTGAAAGGATCTATGAACCTAAATATGAAAGACTAAAACTATAAAACTTTAGCAAGAAATTATAAGGGAAAATGTTCATGAATTTAGGGTAGGCAAGAA